AAAGACCTAGCCGTCTTGGCCAGTGGTGTGCTAGAGCCAGCTTCTGCTGGCTCTTGAGACCTGACTGTGCACACCTCCAACCCCATGTTCAGTGACACGACATCCAGAACTTGAAATTAGGCATCGTGTGGTGTTTAAACCATGGAAATTGGCAGACAGTAACAAATCAGGGCTTTTGTTTTTTCAGAGTCAATTTGCCAGCACACCACTCGTTCTTGGCCTGATTCAGGACTATTCTAAAGCCTCTGACAGGCCACTCTGTCTCAGAGGTCTTCATGGGGGTGGCAAGGCTGCTGTTGGGCCTTACAACTCTACCTTTCCCTCTGCCCAGTTTGGCTCTCACCCCTCCCATATACATGTGCTGATCCCACGGGCACTCCCTGCATGCTGAACTCTCTCTGAGTTTGATTCCTGGGAACTCAACCTGCAACTCTTTTTTTTTTTTTTTTTGGTAAGTTAAGTTTTATTTGGGGCAAAATGAGGACTATATCCAGGGAGAAATCTTCTCAGATAGCTTTCAGGTCAGGTGTTGAAGGGCAGCAACTCCTGCAGCTCCTAATGCTGTTAAAGTTTACCTAACTTTGCAGATTTCTTAGGCATTTTATCAGGAATGCTAGGTTTTCCCAGAAGGAAGTTTAGAATATATCATACAAAAAGGTTCTGTCCCATGTCAAGATTGAAAAAGTTTTCCTTTTACAAGGTTTTAACTTTCTGGACCATTCCATCAACAGGTAAGCTCTTAATGGAGGCCTCTGGTTGGTACTAACCATCATACAAGCCACCATGAGCCCATGAACCACCTACCCGGAGAACAATGAATTCCTGTAACATGTGCTTGTTGAATGACTAAAATGAAGCACATTCAAATTGCCCAATTAAAGACGTTTTTTTGTAAGAGTCTATCACTTATTCTCACTCTTGCTTCGTTGAAGGCTTTTCACTATTTTTCTCTGTTTGCCTACTTGTAGAAGTGATAGCAAAAGACTCAAAAACATATATGGCCTGATCATTGGCTAATCAGAAAGAATCCTGCCTCTCATGCAAGAGAAGGGTCAGGTATCAATCCTTTGGGTGTTGAATCTTAGGATGGGTGGGGAGGGAATTCCTTGGAAAGAGATTTGGGACACTCAGGAAGCTTAGGGACAGAAGCTAGTTACCAGCTTGTATGCAACTGTTTCAATATTTCAGCAATGGGATGCCTTTGCGGGTGCCTCCCAGCTGAATAGCAAGCTCAGTTGTACTTTTAAGCTGCTCCATTTATGACTTTAGTATTCTACATCTCAAATGCTTTTAATTTACCTAACGAGACAAACAAATATTATTATATTGCTCTCAGTGAATATCCCAATCATCTTTACCTGGGCATATCTATGCACATGGGGTGAGGGCATATCTATGCACATGGGGTGAGGTATACTTGGCTTGCAAATTCTAGGCTATAAATAGCACCAACATTTTCTGATTAAGTTTAAAATATTTTTTGATGCAACTTTTGTTTTATTTCTTGGAAGACAGTATTGCTTTATTGAATCTGGACTTGACCATTATTTTATAAAGGAAAGCTAAGTTGAACAAATTTTAATGAAGAGATACAATAATAAAATCTCCTTACATGTCATTTGGTATTTCACTTTGTTTTAATGCACATTTATTAAGATCATTTACTAGGTACCATAAGTGGTGTGGAGAATACAAAGATGAATAAGACAAGCTCCCTGCCCTTCAGGGGATGCAGAGGGGATTTAATGGGGGATCCTAAAGCAGGACAATGAGAATGAATGGAAGAGTATCCAGGAGTGGTAAAAAAATGTAAGTCTGGAGTATAGAGTGGGAGAAAAGAAGTATTCTGGAGATAAGTCTGGAATGGTGGAGTATTAGGATGCTTTCAGTTGTAAATGACAGAGACCAACACAAGCCACCTTGAGCGAACAGGGATTTAATTGGCAGTATAACTGCAAGGTCTAGAAGGTATACATAGGTGGCCCTATGTATACCTATGTATACTTATGTGGGGTAATAATGGTGTGTCAAGATAGGGTCATCAGCTGTAACAAATGTATTACCGTAGTGCAAGATGTTGATAGTGGGAGAGGTTGTGCGTGTTTTGGGGCAGCGGGTATCTGGGAACTCTGTACTTCTCTGCTCATTCTCTACAAAATAAAGTCTATATAAAAAAAAAAAAAGGCAGCTGGGGCTTTTGAATAGAGATGTGAATTTAAATATTTAAATTCAGAGGAGCAAAATGACCCCTGCTGACCAAATGGAGGCCTGAGAGCCAGCAACTGCCCAGCTGAGATCGTTCTCAGCCTTTGACTTTTCATCCCTTTTCTGGGATCACACTGAGAATCTATATTAGTGATAATGAGTATATCTAGTCGTTCTGTAAATGTGGCTATTTAAGGCATTTTATGTGCCAGACCCTGTGCTTAATGCATGGTGGGAAATAAATCACAAAGCATTGGCCCTGCCCTCCAACTTCATAGACTGGTATAGTTTTTCTCAAAGAATAGTCCAATAAGGAGCACTTTGAGGCACTTGCTAAAATAACAGAATTCAGGACTTTTTGTAGACCTCCAGAATGAGAATCTACGGGTGTCTGGTAGGGCCACTCAAGATGGCTGTTCTCTTACTCTCTGTATACCCTCTGCTCGACCAATGCCTGCTGCGCCTACACGCTGCTCACATGACTGACCTTCCTGTGCGCTTGCCCCAGGCTCCAGCTGCTGGTTGTTCTGATCTGAGGGGTAGTGAGGGGCGTGCCCCTCTGCTGGTTTCCCTGGTAACCCATGAGCCAACCAGACGTCAATTTCCCCTATAATTGGCAATTTACCCCCCACTCCCGGGCCGCCCGCCCCCAAGACTGGGTGCGTGACCCAAGAATTTGCATTTTTAACATGCATCCAAGAGCCTTGACACTCAAAATGTGGCATCGCCTGGGAGTTCACTAGAGGTGCAACGGCCCCACCATAGACCTCTTGAATCATGAGCTGCATTTTAACAGGATCCCCACACATTAAAGTTTGAGAAGCACTATTCTAGAAGATTCTGTTACATGCTGAAGTTTGAGAATCAGTGGCCTGGGAAGACTAATGAGTATATAGATGAATTTGGCACAATGTGATGAGTGCATTTATAGAGGAACATGTGAGTTCCTCTGGGCACGTTTAAAGGATCAGGTTTCTCTGTCAGAGATTTCCAGGAGAGGTGTGATGCCACTTGCTTCTTAAAAAGCAAGAAGTTGGCCAGGCTAAAGGGATGGGGCAGGGGTGACAGGTCTCATCAGAGGAAATCCAGTGTCAAAAGTCCTGAGGCAAAAGAGAACACTGCATGTTTAAGGAACAAGAGATGTATCTCGAATTGCAGTATAAGTTTTCAAACAAACATTTAAACTCTAAACTTCAACCAAAAGAGATATTTTTAAAAATTCAATGGTTAAAGATTCTCTTATTAATCTTTAAGGGAGTGCAGGAATCAGATTTTTTGAATCTTATCATGCTGTTTCTCTGGCCTCCTTTGACAATTTTTGTGTGTGTGTCCATTTCTTCATTCATTCATTCAAACATATATACATTACACACTGTGCTTTGTGCCTATTATGTGGTGGTGAATGAAACCAAAATAGTTTCTGTCCTCAGGGAGTTTATAGGTGAGGCTGGAGTGGGAGTGGAGAAGCCAGTAAAACAGGTAAATTTTTAAAATGTGTAATTATAAATTGAGAAAATGGCTAAGTGTGCTATGATGGAGAATAAAGCAGGAGACTTCAAGGAAGGTCTTCCAGCCAGACTGAGGTAGGAGATAGATGGGCCCTTGGGCTGGACAGCTGGTGTTTGTCAAGTGGAGTAAAATTGAAGCTTTGTTCTCGCTCCAAGGGCAAAGGTAGTGGCAGAAGCTGAGCTCTGCTAAAGTAAAGAGATAAGACGACCACTCCTGAGGTCAAGGAAAACTTCCCTGTCTGCGCTTGTGCAGAAAGGCTCCTTGAGGGTCAAAAAGGGAGGGGGCGCCACCCCATAATAAGTGTGGACATACACCCACAGGCTTCTGTGGTGGGGTCCATCTTAGCAAAAAGTTGCGGGCAGCCCTCCTCCCCCCCCCCCCC